TTTTAAAGGGTTAGTTCACCCAAAAATGAAAATTAGCCCATAATTTACTCACCCTCAAGTCATCCTAGGTGTATATGACTTTCTTCTTTCAGACGAATCCAATCGGAGTTATATTAAAACTTATCTTTGCTCTTCCAAGCATTAGAATGGTAGTAGGTGGGTGTTTCTGTTCAACAGTCGAAAACTAGTCAAATAAAGTGTCCGGATTCATAATAAAACGTGCCTCACCCGGTTCCGGGGGGTGAATAAAGAATAATTTTAGATATCCATATTTAAAATGTTAAAAATACTTTTTTCTCACTTCTGCTGACTGTCATACATGCAAGCCGTTCCGGGCGGATGACGTACGACATACGCGTCGCGTGCTTCTCAGAGATGTGACGAACGCAGAGGAGAGACAGCAAAACAAAACACCAGTCATGAATTAGAAGTACTAAACGAGGATTTGTAAAGAAGAATGCCGGAGGATTTCGATATAAGCCAAGAGGAGACTGGTTTTCCTTTGCTAAAGTAAGGAAACTTTGCTTCCTTTGCTCCTGTAAACAAACTTGCGAGACTAGCATATCTCAGAAGCGCAAGTGACACATACGTCCTACGTCATCCGCCAGAACGGCTTGCACGTATGACTGATTGGATTTGTCTGAAAGAAGAAAGTCATATACACCTAGGATGCTTTGAGGGTGAGTAAAACATGGGCTAATTTTTATTTTTGGGTGAACTAACCCTTTAAGCAGAGCATGGCAGGAGAGAAGCCTCACCAGCAAACAAGTGTTTGTCTTTATTTATTCTTCTTTTCTTGTGTTCCTTCTTAAGTTGATTTAAGATTGGTTTTGTTTGTTTGTAGTTTTAGTTTGGGGTGTTTGTTTTCGTATTTATTTGAGATCCTTTTGCTCGGTGTCTTTTCTTGTATGGTACATCTTCCCGATCATTTGTCCTTTAATAAAATGAATAAGCACCTGGAGCTCACATCTCTGAAAGCATCTAAATAAACTGTCAAATAGGCGCTATCTTTATATATTGTATAAATAAAATTTCTTAAAACTACATTCCTTGACACAATAACAGTAATAATATTGTAAAATTTTAGTGGGTTCGCTCTTCAACCATTGAGGCTCACTAAGACAAATGCTGTCAGCATAAATAAGGCAAACAAGTGGAGTGATACAAACAGTGAAGTGGCTAAAGTTTTGGGGCAAGTTGCATAAACATAGCTACTAGGGGTGTGCCCGAAGCCGAATACCTTAATCGGAAAGGCACGAATAATGGCTTCAAAACAAATAAGGGATAACAAATAATTCTGCTGAATAATATTCGGTTGAGGTTGACACAGTCACTCCTCGTGTTTGCAGGATAACAGGTGAGCCAGGGGATCAGTGAGATATTATACATAAACATCTAAAGTCACTACGCAATAATCAGTATGTGAAATGAATGAATGTAATATTTATGATTACAATTAGCACAAATCAAACAACCGCACTGCCTCTTCATGCATTTCTCAGAAATCAGAGAGCTTGGCAAGTGTAACATCAACTAAATTATGATGTCATACACATGTTCTACTATTTGATATGTATATTTAATTGTTCTGAAATTATTAATTTTATATTTTAGAACACTGGTAGAGCAAATGGTCTAGAAACACAAATATTTTCCAAACTCTCTTTTCTTTTTTCCATAATTTTCCAGACTGGCAAATTACTTAAGTGAAATTCCATACTTTTCCAAACTGTGAAGGAACTGGTGAGCCAAGCAAAAGCACTATATTATACAACCTCTACAATTTTATTATTTTAGTTGCTGACCAAAACATATTCAAGTGACAGTTATATAATGAATGTGGGCTTAAAGTGCACACTCTGAGTTTTAATTTGAGGGTATTCTCATCAAAAATGGAGGAAAGGTTAAGGAATTACAGCTCCTTAATATGTACCTCCCCCTTTTTCAAGGGACCATAAGTAATTGGACAATTGACTCAAAAGCTGTTTCATGGACAGGCATGGACTATTCCTTCATTATTTATACATCAATTAAGCAGGTAAACGGTCTGGAGTTGATTCTAAGTGTTACATTTGCATTTGGAAGCTGTTGCTGTGAACCCACATCATGCGGTCAAAGGATTTCTCCATACAAGTCAATCAGACGATTGTTACGCTTCAAAAACAAAACAGATCCATCAGAGATAGCAGGAACATTAGAAGTGGCCAAATCAACAGTTTGGTACATTCTGAGAAAAAAAGAACGCACTGGTAAACTCAGCAATGGTAAAGAAAAACCCTTTCACAACATCCAGCCAAGAGAAGAAGAGAGGCAGACGTGTCTCTGTTAAAGTCTACAATCAGGAGAAGACTTCACCAGAGCAAATACACAGGGTTCACCACAAGCTGCAAACAAGGCCAGATTAGACTTTGCCAAAAAACATCAGCATGGCTTCCAGTGGCCATGCTCATCAGTGATGATGAGACAGAAGCAGCTGGATGAACTCTGAAGTGTATAGAGATATACTCTATACACTCTGGATGAGTGTATAGAGATATACTCTCTGCCCAGATTCAGTCAAATAGAGCAAAGTTGATTGGGCAGCGCTTCATAGTACAAATGGACAATGACCCAAAACATAAAGCAAAAGCAACCTAGGAGTTTTTGAAGGTAAAAAAGTGGATTATTCTGCAATGGCCGAGTTGATCTCCTGATCTCAACCCGATTGAGCAGCATTTCACTTGCTGAAGACAAAACTAAAGACAGAAAGAGCCACAAACATACAACAACTGAAGTCAGCTGCAGTAAAGGCCTGGCAAAGCATCACAAAAGAGGAAACCCAGTCTCTGCTGATGTCCATGAGCTCCAGACTTAAGGCAGTTATCGCTTGCAAAGGATTCTCAAGAAAATATCAAAAATGAACATTTTATTTATGATTATATTTATTTGTCCAATTACATTTGAGCCCCTGAAAATGGGGGGACTGTGTAAAAAAATGGCTGTTATTCCTAAGCATTTAATGTTATATTTTTGTTCAACCCCTTGAATTAAAGCTTAAAGTCTGCGCTTCAATTTCATCTTGATTGTTTCATTTTAATTATATTCTGGTGTCATACAGAGCCGAAGTTATGAAAATTGTGTCAGTGTCCAAATATATATGGACCTGACTATATATACATTCACAGTAAAATTACAATACTAATATTTATGCTTTATTTATAATATCTTTGCTTTCAATTACTAAACCATAGATTTGTACAAATTAATTTTATAAAGTATAAAAATATAAAATTATTTATAATATTTTGTAAAATCATGGGAAACCGTAAAGCTTCTGGTTGCTTCAACAGATTTATAATAATTCTCATTAAAGATTTGGGAAGATGTTTGGTTTTTTTCATTTTCAAATCCATGTCTATCCATGTAGACCCAAACTCCCAGCACTTGCATGAAATGGAGTTTGTGTGAAGCAACATTTCACTCTGAGACATGATTTTTTTGATCTTGTGTGGTAATGAATACAGTGTCATGCTTCACTCTCAAACAAAAAAAGTGGAAGCATGTTGTTAATTAATTTATGGAAAACAGTTTACCTCAGTATTTCCAGGTTACAGTTTCTCTTCAGTCCATCAGAAAGCAGCTTCACACCTGAATCTTCCAGATGGAAAAACTGAACAAGAAAAACAACAGCATTTGCACACAGAATAAATCTTAGCAATGTGATTTTTAATGATTAATTTAATGGGGGGAAAAAAATCAATGAAAGTGTTTGAAACCAAACCTCAGGATCTCCAGCTGACAGTTTGGACTCTTCAGTCCATCAGAAAGCAGCTTCACTCCTGAATCCTGCAGGTGATTGCTACCCAGGTCCAGCTCTCTCAGACGGGAGGTTGAGGATTGTAGAACTGATGACAAACTTTCACAGGACTGAGCAGTGAGATTACAGCCACATAGCCTGTGAAGAGAACAAAACAAACAGCCATATTAATGTTTATCAGGTTTATAATCTGGACTGCATGTTTGTCCTAAATACAACGAAATCAGATATTAAAAAATGGTATTAGTAACAGAAATAAACACAAATATATCGGCATTTCAAAAAAATCTCCAAGATCCAAAAAAATCCCTCAGGATCAATTCCTGAGTGTTAATTTCATAACTTATCTGTGCATTTGTGCTCAACCCTGCAGCTAATCAAACTGACTAATGAACAGTTTGATTCAGTTCAGTTCAGTTTGACTCAGTGATCTGGTCACATCGGTTCATTTTATCAACACACGCTTTACATGTTACCCTTGGGAGATATCATCAGGAAACACGGTTAGCTTTCACTGTTATGCTGATGATACTCAGCTCTATATTTCTTCATGGCCCGGCGAAACATACCAATTTGAAAAACTAG